CCTCTTTCGAATCGCTGCCGGAGCACTCCTGCGTCTTTTCCCTTTCCAAGGATGCCATTCCTGGTACCTAATTCAGGCGTCAAGTGAAACCACATCTCCTAACGCCACCCCCTGGGCCGTCGTGCAAGTCCGAAGAGATCCCAGAACTTCCTCGACGTAACGACTCTCTCTCTCTCTCTCTCTCTCTCTCTCTCTCTCTCTCTCTCTCTCTCTCTCTCTCTCTCTCTCTCTCTCTCTCTCTCTCTCTCTCTCTCTCTCTCTCTCTCTCTCTCTCTCTCTCTCTCTCTCTCTCTCTCTCTCTCTCTCTCTCTCTCTCTCTCTCTCTCTCTCTCTCTCTCTCTCTCTCTGTCTGTTCCTTTGCGAGCATTATCGATATACGTAGGCCAAGCTATGATTTATCGTATAATCTTCGTAATCATGCGTGTAATAGTTCTGGCAGATAGATATCGTGTAGTGTATTCTTACTTTCAAGCTAATAAAGATCTATGCAATCTGTATAATCGTTCTGTGGGAGATGGATGGTGCATAGTGTGCACTTATTTTTAAGTTTTGAGTTAAGATAATTAATTTCAATTCTTAGCTTAAATAGCTAACAGCCAGTGGGATGCACTCGTCTTACAATTAATTGTGGAGAACTGAACATGTGGGGTAGGTGTGTTTTAGCTTCAGCTAAATTTAAAATAAATATGTCTAAGCTAATTTCATTATGTGCGCCTTTTTATACAAAGATAGAGGGTAAAATGGGGTAAAATGGAACATCAAAGTTTCTCTTAGATAAGAGCTACGAATGAATTGCTATCATGTGATATGAGACTGAACATGCCTCAATTACATTTAAATTTTAATTTCCATTTCTATCGCTAATTTTAAGCCTTACTTCTAAGTCTTAGTTTTTAGATTTTTTAATTATATAAAATGAATGTTTTCATAGGTCTCAGGTTTAATTCAAACCAATACTGAATCGATAACGTAGCCTGTGACACGAAAAGAAAGGTAATTTATGGGCCACAAAATGTGTGGCACAAAAATGCATTTAGTCTTATCAGACTTATAGAAATGAAATTTTTAATTGTTCACGAAATAACTACATTTAGGCCTATCTCGAATCTATTTTTGTATGTATTTATTAAAAATGAAATTAGTCCCTGGTAGAATGTTATAGTGCCATCTATTAAGCATCACATGTACAATTCTATTGTAACCTTATTTTCCACTGAGTCGGTAACATTAAAAAATTACTCGAAAATGGTAACAATAAAGTAATGGTAATAGTAACAGTAAAATATGATGCTTGTTTATATTTAATGAAGCTTATTACATGTACATATCAGGTCCAAGTCTTTTACATTATTTGCCAGTTTTTGAAATTGTATTGGACACGGGAAACACATAATAAAATTATTTTTATACTAGTAGATACCTCGTCAATGATACTATCCTAACCTAGAAAATGAAATTAAGTATTATTCCTAATCACAACCGCAATACGTATCACCATTAACATTCCAATAATTTCACTTACAATTACAATTCTCATACCACGAAGTCGAGGAATATTGTACTTCTAAACTAGAAAATACTTAAACGATGGTAATATAATATCCAACATTTATTCGAATATTCGTATTATATTTATTCGTACATGAACTAATTTTAATCTTATTTTTGTAAATAATCGTACCGAAAATACTCTGATTTTACAATTAACGATAATGAACATATACTGTGAATTTCAATCATACATGCATAAATTATCATTATTATATCATTCAAATCAACTATTTTTATATTATAATATTATGTCAAAATTATACGCCCGTATTAATCATTCATGTATTATTATTAATATTGAAAAACGCGATATGCAAGAAGACCTAGCCTGAACTAATAAATAAAACATAGTCAAAATGTTACCACTCATGGGTATAATAAATACCCGCGGTCACTATGCTCATCAAAAATTCTACGTAATACAACGTGCTCGTGTCGGCTCGAACCTTTCATCCTGCGACATGATTGAATGACCGGAGGAACAAAAACGCATGCGACTCACGATAAGATGCGAAATACGTTGTCATCGATGTTATTGTAACCCAGGAGAAGTCGTTAATGTTACACAGGGAAGCCTGACATCAAACAGGAAACAGCAAGCTACGAGGGAATAGAAGATTGGAAAAAGGACTATAACGAAACATGAAATATTATAATTTGTTCTTAAAGATAGTATTACTTACATATTGTTCGTCTTTTTATTAATAAGAAGTATGATATTACGAAGATAAAATATACGACTGAAATATTATTTTACGTTTATTATATTCAAGATATTATTTGTCCATTATATTTCCTATATTATATATATTATATTATATTATATTATATTATATATATAACAACAAAATTGTTGCACGCAAAAATACTTAATCCCACGGTATTGAAGTGAACTTATACATTGAACAGATAGTTTCTATGTAACATTTATTTCACTTTATTCAAAGTTTCTACATACATGAACAAGTAACAATACACAAGTAACAAACGCGGTGAATGGAATTCTTTTTTCTCTTTCTTCAAATGAAAAACTGACATATTACTGAAAATTCTTCTTACATGGATATTCATGTTGCTGTGCCAAAGGCAGTAAACAATGGAACCATTGTGATGCAATCATAATGTTGAACGTAATTCTTTCAACATGATAAGATAATCGCCGATCGAACATTGGTTTCTGTACATCTTGCGATACTTCAACGAGTCATGCTATATAAGGATGTCGGAACAGAACAGCTCATAGTACGTCGATCGTAAGAGAACGCGCAGCCAAGAAGTCGATGATGACATTCGCGAAATCTTCATTAATCAGCTGCCTGTTGGGTATTTTACTTTGGGAAATTCATGGACAAGGCATAATGGTTGATCCCATTAGCAGAAGCAGCGCCTGGCGCAAGGGATTCCCCGTTGAAGTAAATGTCAACGACCATGAACTTTCCTGCGGAGGACCGACCGTAAGAATTCTATTCACTGCTCTGAAATAATAAGTGAAATTTTATGGAAAACAAAGTAAATATAGTTTTGTAGATATAGTAATATAGAAAGCAAACTAGATATAGTTTTGTTATCAATCAGACAGTATTAAGATATTCTATCGAAGACGAATTTCGATTCGACAAGGAACAAAATCCTCACACGTTAGAACTGCAACACGCCTGACAGAAATGTAGAAAAGAAGGTTTCGAGAAGGCGACGTTGGAGATGTGACCGAGAAATGAAAAAGAAATGAATCGATTCGTTTTGCATCGCAGATTCAGTTCACGCAAAATGATGGATTGTGTGGAATATGCGGTGACGATTACGCTATACCACGACCTAGACCAAATGAAAACGGTGGACGTTATGGAACCGGCGTGATCGTCCAAAGGTAAGTTCATTTCCTCGCTGGACAGCGGAATTTTGTACATTTATTTAAAAATGTAAAGATGCAAAAATACATGGAATAAATACAAAGAGATATATATAATATATAAAATATCTAAAATATAATTGTCGTTATAACACTTAGTAAATAAAACCACCTTCTATCCAAATGCTACGAATGATTTCTTATCTTAGCGATGACACTTTTATAATGCGAACGCTTTAAAATCTAGATTTCCAAGGTTCGAGATATCTCGAAAGCCACGTTGATTAATATTTCTGTTATTTTAGGTACAGAGTAAACGACACTGTCAACGTAAATGTGAAACTGATTAGTAACGACCTGGGAAGCTTCTCGTTCAGTCTGTGCCCCTTGGAAGGACCGAAGGATTTCGAGACCGAAATGTGTTTCAAAAAATATCCGCTTCAATTGGAGAACACAGATAACGCCTTTTTGTTGCCAAATTATCAAAAGGATTTCTACATACGAGTTCAGCTGCCATCGAATTTGATCTGCGAACATTGTGTGTTTAGATGGACTTATGTAATCGGAAACCACGCTACTCTATGTTATGGCAATACAGTCAAAATCGGATGTGCACCTCAAAAGACATTCAAAAATTGCGCCGATATCGCGATCTCTTCCTAAGATCTGATTACTCCTTCTGGTCGATAACATGTGTACCTTCGTTACGTAGATTAAATTAGAGAATAACTGTTCAATTAATCGAGGAAGTTTTCTTCTTTCGTCTGGTCTATAAGCACATCTGAAAATGTTTAAAAAAGATTCGGCAAAAATGTCAGGGGAGATCATTGCGATAATAGAGGTAAGATCAGCTAGGAATCGAAATACACCTTCTAATTAAAATTAATAAGAATACACGTGTGCAGGATTCGATCAATCACAGTGAAATAGAAAACAAGAGAATACTTTCTCGTTATTTTCATACACCTCGTACGATTACATTCGATATAACGATGCGCGTAATCTACCTTCCTCAAAAGTACTTTAATCCCTTTTTATTTTATTTCTATCAGCCACTGAGAGTGATATGAAAGATAAGTCAATAAAGATAGATTTATCGTATCTTCTAAGACAATATTTGCAATATAATGTCAGGTACGACTATCGAAGAGAAACGGCTGGAAAGGAAACATAAAACGAGGATAGCAACGGATTAGCGTTTTCTAAACGCGTGTCCGTTCATTGTTCCACCCGTGCGGTACAACAGGTAATAAATAATGGAAAAGGGAGATAAAACAGCTGGCTGATAATGCACGGTGATACAAGGTAGAAATTAACGGGAAGCGTGAACATGCAGATTATTCGGCACGCTTTCACCGAATCTCGGCCTCTCCTCGAGCTTTCATCCCGGTCTTCTTCGCACGTGTTACACTTTTCGCGTTGCCTTCCTTGTTTCTTCGATCCATAAACATTTGAAAGAGCAATAATTGATTATTAGACATTGCAAATGTTTCCTACGGTAACGCTACAATATCGAAGGTACCAGACGACTAATTAGCATTCAATGACAGCATCACTTATGAATAATCAGATTCATTACGATGCTAGTGGCAATCCTACGCGATGATTCTCAAACCGATTGTCCCCATGGAAAATCCGGAACGCGTACCGATGACTAATCCCCCGTTTTGTCAAAACTTCGGATAGGCAACACGTAGCCTATAAACGTAATTTCGAATTCTACCATCGTTTACAGGTAAAAGTTCCATTACTGAATTTTATTGAAAATTTTAAAATATTTGAGACATTGGAATATTCGTGCCGGAGTGTGAGTGTTATCGCGCCAGTAAGTTTTCCATGGCGAGAGAATCTTACGGTTTGATCTTCACGCCAAGTCGTATACGGTGTAAGATGTGTACGGCTGTGATATAATCCTGACGTTAAAAGATTATTTAAAACCCTTATGATTCAAAGGATCGGACAAGATGATGTGTAGCGATTTTCCAGCGTCTGGCGAGTAGTTCGAATCTAGTTCAACTGCGTGACATAAGACACCAACACGAACACGCGCTATCATTGCGAAGGCGAGGCCGCGTGCGTACGAGAACCTCGCCAGAATCCGCTCGCCTTTTCCTCGCGAAAGATTTCTCCGGCCAAACTTAGTCGAAGATCGTCCTCGACCGGACCGATCCGCCTACCGGGTGACTCATTTACGAGGAAACATCGTTCTGATCTGCTCACTGGCGTTCCACGTGCGTCCGGTATTCGATTTTTAAACAGGACTTTCCACTCGTCCAACACGACACGAATTACGACTACTGTAACCGTTTGATCTTCTTAAATCGAACAACAAAGCGGAGGGTACTGTTCTTCCGTTCTCCCACCGCTCTCTCACCTCCGATGTCTCGCTACCTTGACCCACTAACACTTTCTCTGGAAAGAACAAGGAACTGGATGGAAATCTATAAAAAGAACCGTGACGCGCATCGCCCTGTCCAACAGGGGAAATTTATTTCACAAGTCTCCAAGAAAGAGAATTCGAAGGTTTCCGGTTGTATCCTCGCCAAGACGATTGTTCGTCTACAAGTCATCCTGATTTCTTAATTGTCTACGTGCTGCACCTCTCAGCGAACAAAGAAAAAACCACGAGCTTGGCGATGCAACGAGGAACTCTAAAAACGAGGTCGACGCTGAAATTACGTCTTGTTCCAATCCGAAGATCTCGAGCTGATCTTGTCCGGTAATTGCGTATTGCGTGCGAGCTCCGGAATGGCTGCGTATGCGAATTAATTTAAAATACACAATACGAAACGAGTTTGTTCGAACGAAGTTGTTGGCATTCGGAAATAAAACACATATATCTGTCCTACGGGAACGGCATAAAAAAACGGGATCGACGTGTGACGAGTCCGTGAAACGAATTCCAAATGCATTTAACGAGGTGTTACGTTGCATCGGCTGGTAATTCCAAGGCGTGTGCTCATCGCAGTGCAGCTCGAACAATTGTGTGTTAATTGGTTCGTAAAAAAAAAAAGTAGGAAAGTTTCTGGGAGGAGAAAGAGCGTTCGCGATTGTCTCTGATCGTATCGTCGCGTTGTTTTGTAAGGTGAAACTGTTTCTAAAATTACATTGTAACGTAGCACGCAACATTTTATTCGGCCAGCGAAGTGACGATCGATCAACGATGAAAATACGCGACAGCGGACAATTTACTTTCGATTTCGCCGCTTTGGCCGTGGAACATCGCGCCGCTTGTCCTTCGATTCGTGCCACGCACGTTTTTCTGTCGTCTCGCTAAGCAATAAGAAGGCAGCAATTACGCGATTCAGCGATCAACGCGAGGACGATTGACCTAGCGCGTTGCAACAGGATCAAAGAAACTTTACGGAAAATTTCTCGCAAGGGTAAAACCGGTATATTCCGATAGCGAATACGTGTTTATAAAATACAATTATTTCATGCAAAATTGTAAATATATAATATAAAATATAATATCGGAATAACGTTATTACACAATATACAACATGTAATTATTACGTATAACATTGCGCGATATTATTTCAATACTCCGCTATAATAATCCTCGTATCGTACCCGATTTTTTCGACAATAGCGGGAATACGAATTGCTACGAACAGAACCAAGCCTAATTAAAAGTAATTTCCTCCAAACTATCGACTGATGACCGATATTTGACTGCACTTTTTGTAAACATCTTAATCCGTAAGTTTGTTTAGTCCAACAAGATGCATAAATAGTCGTTCTCAATCCAAGCGAAATCTCATTGAAGGCAACCGTTTTGGGTTACAACCAACCCTCGGTAGAAATCACCAAGGAAGCCACGATCAAAACAGAAGGGGAAATAAGCATAACAGGAAGCCGTCTGTCCCACAGGAATCGATCTTCCCCCGGAACGAGTGTTAGCGACGCGAGTGGAAGGCGAGTGGAAGACAAGTGGAAGGCAAGTGGAAGGTGAATCGAAGGCGAATCGAAGGCGAATCGAAGGCGAATCGAAGGCGTCGATATCGTCCAGCTTTCCGGGAACAGCCTGTAGAATCGCGTGGCGAGCCTGTAGCAAGGTGAGCGTGGAGAATTCTCCGGCTGGCCGGAGAGGAGGAATGAAAGGTAAGCGAGGCAACAACGCCAACACCGGCAAGGAGGAGGTAGATCCCGCTCACCGGTGCACTTCACCTCCGGCCTCGGCACGGATCGCGACCGAACCGACCAGCAACAAACCAGTGAACCGAGTGAACCGAACCGCGCGTACCTCGTTTGTGTTGTTACCCTCTTCGAGCTGCAACAACTCGTAAGAAGGCTTTGACCGTTCGCTATTACGCTAAATAAAGTCGTCTATTCGTCGATAATTCGTGAAAGAAAAAGAAGAAAGGACAGTCTATCTTCGATCGTTTGGCATTTAAAAGGCTTGCTGTCTTTGTGCGTTTGTTCGAGTTCTGTTTCGTTTACCTACGGTTTGATCGTATGACAAATTAGCCTGTGAGTGCACGGTTGGTGTTTCAACAGCGTTTCCGAGGAACCGTAACAGAAGAATGCGGTAGGATGCGTATCCAGGAAAGATGTTTTCTGCGCGCGATCGCAGGACTTTGCCTGATAGGCGGGGTCGTCGCGTTGTCGTCGGCTGCTGACGTCGAGACACCGATTCAAACCACCACTGGTGAGTTTTGGCTGGTTTTTCCCATCGCTGTGTTTTTCCTCCGCGATTCGTCGCGCGCTTTCTTGTTGACTTGCGCCGAAGTCTCGATTCCTTGCGATTCGCCTCGCGCTTTTTCCCGCGACGCTCGTGTCTTTCCCAGGTAAAACGCGCGCCGCGTTTCACACTTCGATAGGAAAAATCTCGAATGTTTTCTAGCAAACATTCGATGGCAGATCGTTGGTGAACGTGCCAATATAGAAATGTTTGGCCGATCTTCGACAGTTTGGTCGGTCTGATGGAATCGAGCAAGTAATTGACCTAATAAAAAGAGGCGATAAGCAAAAGGTCGTTACGTAACGGAACATCGACACCCTGAAAGCAGACGTGAAACGCAACCATAAGAGAGCATCGCCGCGAAGCGACGTGATCGTAACGGTATACCGCGTGAAACTGGCGAAAAATTCTATCACGTCCTCGTTCGAGAACTGATGTCATCCTCGCGAATAAAATCGTAAAAAGAAGCAGACACGCGATAGTTCTACGAAGAAGCTGCTTTTCTTCGAACGTGTTTTCCCAAAAGGGAAAACAGATTTCGCCGATGATGGAGGAAGATCGGTTCGAGAAATCGCCTGACGTCCAGGTCGCCCACTAACACGAATATCGACCGATACGCGATTGCTGTCGATGGAAATCGCGCGACATCGTCTCGGTTCCACATCCGGGACTTCTACGCGGTTAAGGACTCATTTCGAAACCGATCTGGTAGCCGATTATAATAGTCGATTAAATTCGTTGCTCGAATTCGTTCCGCTATCCGCTGGGAAAGATTGACATCGACGTTGCGAAACGCAAAACCGGTTGGCATTTCTCTGTAACCAGTACAGAATATTTAAATAAATCGAAGAATGGCTCCACAAAGTTTCAGAAATCAGAGTTAGTCGGTATCGCATCTACAACTCCTGGCTATCGAATTAAAAACGCATGATACACAGATTACTGTCAGGTAAATAACAAATTCTACTTGACTCCTCAAATTCTCATCGAACATATAGCGATTACTTGATTTTCCACTCGCGATTCTTACGTCGATAAATGTTGCTATTAGACAGTTTGCACGCGCCCCTTTTAATTTTCTTGGAAGAACGAACAATACGAAAGTTTCGCGTGGCACTAACTCGATGATCGGAAACTGTGCATCGTGTCAACCTGAACCGATCAATCGGCGAATATTAAAAGCCACAGAGAATTGAAATTGCAATTACAACTGAAAGTGGCGCGCCTAAATCGATTCAATGGCGGCACGTGTTCCTCGTGGCA